CCGTCCCCGCCTCATCCGTCTGAGGGCGCCTCACTACGCTGGCAGGTTGGAGACTTGGCTATATTTTACAAGCAGGAGGTTGTGTTGGCACAGGTTGGAGAAGAGGTAGCAGCCCGGGGCTGGATGTAAACATCAAGTTCTTATTCCAGAATGTCAGGAGGTTTTGAGTTTAGGCATCTGCAGATCTAAAGCTGACGGCTATAAAGTGCAATGATGCTGGGGACTCTTTGGAAAGTCTGTCCAGAGGGAGAGTGGGACGGAGGTGTGTGGGGGCCCACTTGAGGAAGAAATGCCTCTTTTTCATGTTTTTGTAGACCTTTCTTTTTTCTTTTTCACGGTGCTTTCCCTGTGCTTTAGAAATGAAAACTTCTGCCCACCCCAGCCAGTTTCTGCCTTATCCTGAAATACGTCCCCACTTCAGGACTGGGGACAGGTTTGTTCAGTGTGGAGAGTTTGCTGGCATTGTATGTGTCTGAGCCCTTTGAGGGAGATGCTAGTTCGTGTGCATCGGCCTTGTGCATTTCAGGAAGGTGACCACATTTGGGGGAACAAAAGGGAAAACAATTTGCATATTCTCTGGTTTGCTCAAAGTGAATTAGATAAGGATTGAAAGCGGTGTTGCCAAGCTCTACAGTCACTAAAGATGTTTTCCTCTATGCTTTGTTTAGAAAGCCTCTTCCCTATCTCATCTCCCACTGTCTCTCTCCCCCTCCAAGAAGTCAGTAACCTTACAGCCCTCAGCTTTGTCATTCATAGAAAGAGAATGACAATCTATATCTCATCGAGCTCTTATACCATTCAAATGAGATAATATATGGCCAACTCTCTGCACAGTACGTGGTACATGGTAAGGGCTCAAGAAGTGAAGGCTTTTCTAGGTTTTCCCACTTATCAATTCACAAGAACTTGTCCAGGATTCATGTTCTAAAACAAGTATTTTTAAACTTATTTTTACAGTAGGGTGAAATCCCAGTATATGACAGGTAAATGTGGGGCTGCTTTGGTTGAAGTGGGGCCACAAGGTCTAAAACTAACCCACAGTTGTTCCCAGCCTCTGGGACATCACCATGGAATCTTGAACAACACAAAACACAATTACAAATCATGAAGGCAAGTAGTGTGCATTTAGGTTGCAATTCTGCACTTCAATAAGGATTTTTGCTCCTCTGAGTCACCATTTATAATTGGTGTAAAAGCTATTCCTCAAACAGTGTAGTAGACAGGTTTATATGTGGGAAGTTTAAAAGGTTTAACAAAGACTGGTTCTCTTTATTAATTTTAGTGATGATAATAGCCCAAATCTATGGTGAGCCTACTCTCTAATCTATAGGCCCTTTGTGGACATCATCTCACTAAACATCCACAACCGACTCTGAGACATGAACTATACCTACTGGACAAAGATATGGCTTGGAGAACAGAGAGACTGAGTAACTCTTTCAGAGTCCTGTAACTCAGGGTAACAGAGCCAGATTTCAAAACAGGTCTCCACAATCACAAGTCAGAGGCACATTCTGCTATGTCCCTTCTGAAGGCTTATCTACTTCTTACACTGCCTATAGAAGGAAAACACTTCCTTTCTGACTAAATATTCCCCTCCAGGCTGACCGTGGCCACCCATAAATACAGCGGTAGCCCGATCATATAACCAGAATGGAATTTGGAAAGGGAATTCAAGCTGACAGAATGAAAAACATATCCGCTTAAGCCTACCTACCCTTTCTAATGCTTACAATGAATTAGGAATACCTACTCTCTCCTCTTTCTAGATCTCTGTAGAAAATTAGCTATACTTTCTTATAGGAAAAATTGTCCCACTAGTCTAAAGCATAAGCCCCTCCATATTAAAGCCACTGCAACCATGTAGTTGGCTCTAAATTCCCTTTGCAATGATAAAACACACACACACACACACACACACACACACACACACAAAGTTAATAGTGAGGACTATGTGTTATGTTACATATGTAATAGGAGAGTTTGCCTATGGTTTCTCACCTGATTCTCACTCTAACACTGCAAACTGTGAATTACTAGCTCCATTTTATGGATAGAGAAATCGAAGCTCCCGGAAGTTTAAGCGACTCATCCGAAGTCTTACCATACCATAAGTGAGGGGCAGAGTTGGCTTTGACCCAAGCTTTCTAAAACCCTACTGCTTTTTCAACTATGTTACATTGCCTCTGAAATCAGGCTGGGCTGACCAAGTATAGAACCTTACATAATGTCTTTCAGTGAAAAGGTGGCCAAGATGGTAGAGAAACCCCCAACTGGCACTGGTGTCTATTGATTTTATAGAAGAGCCCTGAGTGTATCATTTTTCATAGTTCTCAGGAAAGGTCAGCTTGTGGTGGGGCAACTCTCTGCCTGGAAACAGGAAAGTTCAAATTTCAGCTCTAAGAGACAGAAGAATGAAACTAGAGGTAGCAGTCAGCAGGTCACTCCTGCTGATTTTCATCCCAGAAAAGTAGGCACATACTTACATCCCTGTGCTCTACAGGTGGGATCCTGATTGGAAAAGCAGAGCTGTACCTGCACCCTGTCTGAGAGCCAGGTGAGCTGAATATCTGGTTTTAAATGAGTTGATGGGTAGGAAAAGTGAAATTGGCCTCAGGACAGTGAATCCCAGGGCAACTGGGAAATGTTTGTAGGCTCTGAGCCACAAATTCAGCGGAAGTCATTCAAACACCTCTCACTCTGAGAAGATTGCAGGAAATCCCCCAGAATCTAATCCGGGATCAGTTTGAACACCTTCAACATGTAGGAAACATTAGATAAAGGCTCCCTTCCAAGAAGGAAAACCCCTCAAAGTGTAATGAAACTAGCCACCTGAAAACCTGGGGTAATGATTCTATTCAACACAAAAGACAGCATTAGGCCTTACCTAGAGGCCTCAAGCCTTATTAGAAGCTCATGTCTTCTGTGTAGAGGAGAAAGTCTACATGCCTGCCTGAGTCTAACCCTGGTGACCAGATTTTTTTCTCAGTTATGCCCTGAAACCTGGAAATACTTCCTTCCACACCCTTATCTCACATTTCCAGTCTCTCCTCAACTTTAGAAACAACGGTATTATTACTGTCTTTGACCCTCCTTCAAGGCAGAAAAGCAAAATGCCCATGTTGAAAGCAGATCATGAATGGAAAATCCCTTCTATGTGTATTTTTAGTCTATTTGTAAGTGGAAATTTTAAAAATTTATATTTTATGCCAAGTTGTCTCAAATTTTTGAAATTTCCTGCAGTTCACAAGTCCTTAATTATATAGTCATGGCAACTCAAATAGCTTTAGTTGGTCCTTAACATTCCCCAAGTACACTATGCCAAGTACCAGAGATAGTTCATGACTTCTGAAAGTAGACAACTTTGCTTCAGAAATAACCACTGTTCACTTCTTACCTTAAAGGAGGTGAGTAACTGCTGCTAACTTTTACGTGAA